GTTTAACCAATTATATATTCAGGAGTTTATAAGGTATCCCCAAAAAGGAACTACAATGGAGACTATAGGTACTTGGAGGATCATGGGACTTAGTAAGTAAGGTTATAAGTACCCTAATTGGGGTTATAGTTATAGTTACCTTATTTATAACCCTAGTTACTAAGCCCCATGATCCTCCAAGTAGGGCAGGATGCTAACCTAGGTCGACCATAGCCAATGATCCCAAGCTTTCGGCCATGACATGAGTTTAGATGCAGCTTCAAAGTGCGATGTTAGGGTTTAGGGTTTAGGGTTTCAACAATGCAATTGATGGCTTGGGCTGCTCAGTGCCACATCCTAGGCGAACATTGTTGCCTTCGGCTCTACGATGGCCGCCTTGGCATCGGGCGGTCAGTCGCTTGGTCTATCGAAAGCAGGCTTCCTTTGCCATGCATACTACAGGCCGTCGAATGAAGCAGTACAATGTAGACAGCTGTCGACACTGGCATAATGTCGGGGCCTTTCTCATTAGAATAGGGATTTTCGGGCCCATTATACTATAAATATAGCAAGGAAGCCCCAAAATAGTATTAGTAGCTATTTAGGCCCCTGCATTAGATGCATTGGCGCGATGCAACATGGTAAGGTGGCAGCGAACTGCACATCTCCTTGCGGAGATGGAGGAGGCCGCCGCAAAGGGCACTGGCACTCGATTTCGTAACTTTCGGGCGTAATGTAGGGGCCTAATAATTACCAATACTATTTTGGGGGTTCCTTATTACAATTATACTATAATGGGCCCAAAAACCCTCTTCTGATTATTAAGGCCCCTATACTAGGCTCTATGTCACTCTATGTTGCATTGTTAGTGTGGTTCCGGAGAAGTGTAGGCGTCGCCTGATTGGACAGAGGAGGGCTCGAGAACAGCATCAGTGCCCAAATAAAACTACGATATCAACACTCCTGACTCCTGTCAAATCCGGATATTCAAGAATTTGGCCTGAACGCCACATCCAGTCATGAGCCCCGCAATAGCTTGAGTCACATGCCCTGGCAGGCGTTGCTGACGCCCAACTTGCTAACTTGCAGCGCCTGCATCAGCGCCTGCGAAGCCTCTGCGCGTGTCTTGGTTGAGCTGAGGAAGGAGCTTGGATACTTAGGGGCCGAAACAATTACCAAAATTATTCTGGGGGGTTCCTTAGTATGAATATAGTGTAATGGGCCCCAAAACCTTCTTCTGAGTATAAAACCCCCCTACATTACCGTCTTGCTGGGGTTGGGGCTTGCGTTCCCATCGCAGGGCTTGGCCTGGCAGAACAGTCTCCGGAACCTCATGCATACGAATTAGTCTTGTCGTTTGCTGACCCTGGCTGCTGTAGAGGCTGCCAAAACGGTTTCACTTGAAGTTAACGCTGGACGGTCATCAAGACGATGGGAGGGCTTGCAGAAGCTGCGTTTTTGAGCCAAGATCTCGAAGTGCTCCTCTAAACCCCTTCTAAACCCCCTCTAGACCCCCTCTAAACCCCCTCTAAACTCTAAACCCCCTTTAAGTGAAATCTGTGCCTTGTCGCCCTTCGGCCCCTTCTCCAAGAAGCTTCTCCTGGAGGTTGGCCCGATGCTTTGCACCTGCTCCGCCGCCTGGGCGATCTGGACACGGGAACTGCGCCCGAAAGACCTTCCCAGAGAGCCCAATACCCCGTAAATACTTGGAGGATCATGGGACTTAGTAACTAGGATTCTAGATAAGGCAACTATAACTATAACCCCAATTAGGGTACTTATAACCTTACTTACCAAGTCCCATGATCCTGCAAGTAAGGAATAGACCTTAAATTATAGGGGGCTTAATATTATGATTTAAGGGCTCTTCCTTATTTAAGGGCTATTGGGCTCCCTGGGGACCCCCTCTTGTCGATTCGGGAAGCCGCCTTTAGCTGTCACGATGGTCTCAGAGACTCCAATATCCCTCAATTAAGGAATGGACCGCAAATTATAGGGGCCTTTAAAGGGATCTATAAGGGTTTAGGGTTTAGGAATATACCTTAAATTATAGTAGGATCCCTAATATGATTTAAGGTATATTCCTTAATTAAGGGATATTGGAGTCTCGATGGTCTCTGGAGGACTTGCAAGCGGATGACATCGCCCTCAGCACGGTGCTGTGGCTTGTCACTACCAGACTTGCAAGCATTATGGTTCATCGTGAATAGTTAGAGCAGTATAGGGACTTTCACGACCTCACAACGGCTCAGAGAGCCCAATACCCCTTAATTCCGGAATATCCCTTAAATCATAATATGAAGGCCCCTATGATTTAAGGCATATTCCTTATTAAAAGGGGTATTGGGCTCTCTGGGGGCACCTGCTCTCGCTTAGGAGCGCGGCCGTGGCGGCTTGGCCGCGCGCGCAGGCGAGGAGTCGCTCGTTTTCCGCAGATCGGCGCTGTCCTGAAGGTTGCTGAGTCCAACCGAGACCCAGAGAGCCCAATATACACCTTAAATAAGGAATATGCCTTAAGCTATAGCGAGCCTGAATAATATGATCTAAGGTAGATTCCTTATGTAAAGGGTCCCTTGGGCTCTCTGGGAACTCTAAACCCTAAACCCTAAACCCTAAACCGTGAGTTCTCCCAGCCAGGCGCTCCTGGAAGCCTGGCAATGCCAGGCCTTGGGGCCCCCCTTTTCAAGCCCAGAGACCCAATAGCCCTTAAATAAGGAATATGCTTTAAATTGTAGGGGGATTCATATTATGATTTAAGGTACATTCCTCGCTCTTTGGGATCCGGGTCATAGCTGGTGAGGTGTAAAGTCAGATAATACCGGGCCCTAAATAATTACCTAGAATATTTTGGGGGTTCCTTACTATATTTATACTATAATCTACCCCAATACCCTACATTATTGAGCTTGGACATGTGCGGCTCGGCTTTTGGAGTATTGTCTGAGAAACCTTGGGTTCCCGTTTGCCCGTCAGTGGCCTGTCGCGGACGAGCTCTTACTCCTGTTGGTAGTAGCGTGTTGCACCGCTTTTGCGAGATCAACTGTCGAAGGAATGTCGCATCTAAGGTCAAAGACTTTCAATCCCCAAAGCCTTTCAGACGACACCGCAGCGAGCGCTTTGAAAAAGAGATCAGCTGCAGCTGCACGGGAATGCACTGAAAGGTGTCCGGATGCGCAGCCATCGGCGTCTATGACAGGCTGGCCATATGAAACCCGTAGGCAAGTTCATGCACTGGTGCAAAGCGGGTGTGGTGCAGCTCCGTGACAGCCAGTTTTGCAGATCTCGTCCATGCTGGCTAAATACAGCTGTGATTTCCTGTCTCGTTTATGCAGAGAGCCCAGCTCCTCGACCCATGCGCACTGAACAATCCTCCGAGGAGCTCGAGCTGGAAGCGAGCACTGGCCGTTCACCGTGGCGACGTTGCATCTCTCAATGCTGCACTTTGGGTGTGTGACTCGGCTGGTGACCAGCTAGAAGTCTGTATGGTTTTCGGCTGAACCTTTAGAGCCAATGCTTCTTCACCTGCTTCCCGGTCCATGCACAGTGTTTGAGGTTGGTTCAGCTGAATCAAGCACAGCTCTGCGTCGTCGTTTCACCGGCATGCTTTAGCTGTCGGCGGCATCGAGTTTGTTTCCATCTTTTTGTCCAGTCTTCAAACATCCACCATAGGTAGCCAGTACCCAGAGACTCCAATATCCCCTTAATTAAGGAATATACCTTAAATTATAGTAGGATCCCTAATATGATTTAAGGTATATTCCTTCATTCCCCTATGGATCCCTTATAGATCCCTTTAAGGAGCCCTTTAAGGTATATTCCTTAGCTAAGGGATATTGGAGTCTCTGAGTAAGAAGGATAGACTCCGGATGCAGGCTCTGTCTGGACCTGATGGGCATACCAGTGCTCTCATTATACGCTTCCCAGAGAGCCCAATACCCCTTTAATAAGGAATATACCTTAAATTATAGGGGCCTTAATATTATGGTTTAAGGTATCTTCCTTAATTAAGGGGTATTGGGCTCTCTGGGTTACAGGCTTCAAGCATCCAGCCTCACAGCAACTTCCAGAAAGCATCTTGCACACAACCCTCAGCTTCCTCTACGAAGGTAAGGCGGTGGAGAAGTGGCGCTTGGCCTGTGCAGCAGTCAGCGCTGCTTGCCAGGTGCGAACTGGAAGATTCCGGCACGCTTGAGTGTCAGGCCCCAGACCCTGTCAGGGGCTGCAGCAGGCTTGATCGGTTTCATGAGTGACAACTCTGGCATGGCCTATCGGCTAGGAAGGCTCAGCATTTTCGGCCGCGGTAAGCGTCAGCAAGTAGGCGCCTTCAAGCGGTTGTCTAACAGTCATAGTCCGCTAACGACCAGGTCGACCTCCGCCCAGACGAGATGTCCTGGAACCCGGGCTGGAAGTGGTGATCGGGATCTGAGCAAGGGATTGGCTTGGAAGGAAGCAGATTCGGGCTCAAGTCCCCAACCTGTCCAGCTCTGAAAATACACTGCAGAAACGGCAGACTGTAGGTTTGTCTAGAGTGGTCTCTGTAAACACGGATTGCCTTACGTCGGCAATCTAATCTGGATGTCTTCGGAGGCAAGGGAGAAGCCAGCTCGGCTTGCTGAGCCATATAATGATGCCATGTACTTGGAGGATCATGGGACTTAGTAAGTAAGGTGATAGGTACCCTAATTGGGGGTTATAACTATAGTTGCCTTATTTATAACCCTAGTTACTAAGTCCCATGATCCTCCAGGCATCCTTTAAACCCTAAACCCTAAACCCTAAACCACCCAAGGAACGCTGCCACCGGAGCTTGTGCCGCCTCCAGCCGTTGGCAGCGCGCTTTGGTGCAGCTCCGCCTCCAAGTCGCAGGCCAGTGCTTTCGAAGCAGGTTTAGGGTTTAGGGATTTAGGGTTTAGGGCTTTGGGTTTAGGGGTTTAGGGGCAGTGCTTTCGAAGCAGCCAGAGAGCCCAATACCCCTTAATTAAGGAACATACCCTAAGCTATAATGTTAAGGCCCCTATATTTTAAGGTATATATCCCTAAACCCTAAACCCTAGGTTATAATATCAAGGGCCCCTATAATTTAAGGTATATATTCCTTATTTAAGGGGTGTTGGGCTCTGTGGGCAGGTTGCTGCTGGTCGCAGCGGCAGTTGCTACTTCAGCTCTGTGCACGAAAAGTATGAGAGAGTTTGCGTCTGCGGAATTGTTGTAACCCAGAGAGCCCAATACCCCTTAATTAAGGAAGATACCTTAAATCATAATATTAAGGCCCCTATAATTTAAGGTATATTCCTTATTTAAGGGATATTGGGCTCTCTGGGAATCTCTTGCAAACTACGGTTCTTTTCAGTCAGTACAGCAAGATCACATATACCAGTCAAGCAACGTTTCAAGCGTGAGAACGCAGATTCTGTGATGCAGTCGGTTTGGACTTCCGCCTCAGGAGCACACCTGACAACATCCTTGCCACACGGTTTGAGTACGATGACCTACAGCGTTGTCGCCCGCCTAGTTTTGCAAGCTGTGTTGCAGGAGAAGCTGGGTCAGGGAGAGACGGAACAGAGAAAGAGAGCGAGAGGAAGACCAAGAGAGAGAGAGAGAGAGAGA